TTAAGCCAAAGAGGTTGCTTCAAGACAAAGAGGTTGCTGTGCTGAGGCGCGCATGGTGATGACGCCCATGGTCAGGCACCTGGTCTGGCCCTCAGAGAGTGCAACGTGAGGCTCTGATCGCTACCTATCACGTTGCCGTGGCACCTGTGGGCTTTGGGTTCCTGGAAGAAAGACATATCTTTGAGAAAACCCCGAAGGTGCCACGGCCTGACATGGGAGAGAAGGTATGCGGTCAACAGTTCGGGGAGCAGATCTGATGTCCCACTGGCAGAACAGCGTGAAGAACTTTTTGAAAAGCCGAGCCAAACGGCTAAAGCCATGAAAGAGGCCCGGCCCTTGATTTCTTCACTGCTCTTGGATCATTGTTTTTCTTTTTCTCCCGGCTCTGTTCGTTTTTAGGCTTGGGGGCTGCACAAAACCAAGTTGTTGGCTACCACACCAAGGTTGTGAAGTTTACTGCGGTGCAAAGGCTAGTTCCCCTTGCCCGCATTTGACCGGAAGTCGACGCAGTGGCTCAAACGGCCTAAAGGCCGGGCCAAAACCTTCAGGTGCAGAGGAGGACACGGAAAAGGACCAGCGCCGAATCGGCGCGGCTCTGTGCCTCACGATTCCCCACCTGTTGGGGGGCATATTGTTCGGGGGTGGCCGGGCCCCGGCGCGAAGAGAACGCCACGGCGCTCGATTTTTGGTAGGGTGAAGGGTGTGGGTGGAAGGGAGGGTGAAGAGAACGGGGAACCGAAACTCACTCCGCGTTCCTGGACTTTAGCCACTTTTTGGGAAGACCATGTTAATTAGTGGCGAACAAAAAGTTTTGACTAGTTTGGCCCATCCCAGAAATTGGGAAACGGAGATTGATATTTTGTTTCTGTCCGGGCCCCTTATTCAAAACACACAAGACACCTCTCCCCAGCCCGGACCCCCCCCCTGCGTCCACTGGTTTCCGCCAAACAAGGCCTTATAAATCCTTATTTATGTTTTTAATGATGGTGTGCCCCTTTTTGGCCGCTTTGATGAATGTTTCATCTCTTCGAGAAGTACCGCCATTTGGAGTTGCTTGAAGGGAAGCCACATGGAAACCAGCGATGAGTCTGATCCCGTTGGACGAACCCAAAGGATGCCTACAGTGCTACCAGGCTATCTTGCAGAGCATTTTACGGTAGATGCAGCCCTTCACAATCTGGCTTCACTTGGGCAGTTGTTTCTTTCGTGCTTGGGGGGGGTTGCCATTGCCAGCTGAGATAGGCCAGGCAACAAGCCCAGCAACATCCAACCATCAACTTCCATTTGCTTAAGCCACCTTGAAAAATAATCACATTTACCAGTGGTGAGAGATTCCCTTGCCCCTCACCGCAGGAGCCAGAGGAGGAGCTGCCCCTTGGCACCAGAGATTTTGAGAGTTGGACGCGAATTGGAGGCGATTTTGGCGGGAGAGGCCAAGAGGGGATGGGAACCTGAGGTGCTTGCTTCCAGTTGGTGGCTGGGTGCTTGCTTCCAGTTGGTGAAGTGAAGATGTTGAATTGTCCCTGGTGGTGGTGAAGTCGGAATCTATTCCTACTGGACATCTTTGTATTTTCGCGGGGACTTAAGCAAATGGAAGTATTTGGAGAGCAAATGAGGAGGGGTTCTCTACTTCAACCATAAAACAAGGAGCAACCGAGCCAACCAACAGAGGTGTCTACGCGCCAGAGTTCCCATGATTCGAAGGGTCTCCTCCAAACATGATCCTATGATTCTCACTTTCTGAGCTCATGGACTTCAATCTTACCATTCAAGTGGCATTTGCGCACAGTTTTTGGAATTTTCTGGCTAGCCTTGGTCAGAAGTGCTTGTGATTATTATTTATGTGCCGTAGGCTACGATTATGGCCTTGGGGCAATGCTTTGGATAAGGATGACCACGAGAAGGACTCCCATGAAAGGAGCCATCACGGGGCTGAGTGCCAAATAGCCTACATTGAATGATACGTGTATCATATATATATATATACACATAATTTATGTATATACAACTCTGTTTTACGCGTTCGGCTCGCCTAGGCGGATGGAGGAGTCTTTATGATACCAGGGGGGCATTTTGCACAAGGGCCAAACAGCTGAAACTGTTCCTGGGACTACCTGGGCTGCGAATGCGCAGCACGGCCGGACGTGCTCGAGAGGTACTTGGACGACCCCCTCTTCCACAACCTGGACCGACATGGCCATGGTTCAAAATCCATGGGATCCCATTTTGATTGGTAGGCGAATTCACCACCCATTTTACAACCTATTTCAGTGGGGATTGGGATGTTCACTGGGGCTAACAGGGGTTTTGACCGTCACATGAGCAACCCCGAGTGGCCATGTCCGCAGCAAGTCCTTCCGCTCCGCTGGCAAGGCAAATGGCCCTGGGTAGCTTGTTAGGGCACCGCGAAGGCTTGGAAGGAGGGTTAGACATATTTTGTTTTAGAAGGAGGTTGAACAAGTGTTTTTTGTTATGCAAAATCCTGGTGACAACATTTTCAAATGAGTGTAATTCCGACTCCGGCTGAATCCCGACCTGGTGGATTAGATGTTTTCCAAGCGAGAAGGGATCTCCCCTGAAACTCGGCTAGGGGGTTTTCTTAATCCTGGGCTCTCATTTGGGGTGATATCAAAGCTAGGAAACTAGGTTCTGACCTTCGATCTGCATGCGCTTGATTTTGCGAAGGGATGTCTGTTTGGTTCATGAGTTTTTGGGGTCATTATGTGCTGTTTTTAGGGGTGATCAAAGTCAGAAATTTGTTTTTTCCCTTCCACTGAACGGGGGTGACTTTGACACTAAAAATAATTGGCCCAGTGAGTTTTTGGGCTTGTTTGGTTCTGGGGCTCGGGTCTTTGGGTCTTGGGATTGTCCTTTTTTGACGGAATTGTTTTTCAAAGCACCTGCCGGATGGTAGTCGTTTCACGTCGCAAAAACCAATGAAATATTGACCCCTGCCCCTCCCCCCCGTTCGACTCCCCCCGGTCCGCACTCTGGCCCTGATTGGCAGCTTCGCTCCTTCCACGCTTTTCGCTCGCTTCGCTTCCGCGGTCCACTTTTCAGTACTTCCCTTTTTCGCGGAACGGACATGGCCTCTCAACATAGTCAAGCTTTTCCCTGTGGTAGGGGGACCACTTTGCGGTATCCTACCTTTCGTGTCTCCCCTTCTCAAGCGGGTGTGTCTTGTTAGAGGTCACCTTCTTTTGTGGCTTTAAGGGGAAATCAGAAGAAGCACATCAGTTAGCTTCTCCATGGAGGTGTGCGGGGTTTCCATTTGGCTTTAAGAGGTATGTGTCCCAATCCCCAACCCTTGGGTGATTTAGAGTTTCTCTTTTTCAATCCACTCTGTTGATTCGCCACTCACATGTTTGGTTTGTTTTGTTTTCAGTTGTGCCAACAACAGCTGCACACTAGGTTTTTTTCACTCCAGAAAAGCTACGGAGCGGTTCGGAGCGACCTCGGCCTTGTTTGGACGCTTGTTAAGTTCTCGATCTATGTTCTTTACTTGCTGGTGCTCAGCAGGGAATGAGGGAATGACCCCCTATAAACCATCCCCTATGGTTTCCTTTGGGTCCGCATCAGGAGGCCGACGACCAGGAACACGGCGAAGGCAATGGTTCGTGCTGTAAGGGTAAAAGATGGAGGGTAAAAGTTGCAGGCACTTTTTGAAGGGGAAATCCAGCAATGTAAGTTCTACCAGGTCTCTTTGACCTCTTGGCACCTGTTGACCCTATTTCTACACCTTTGAAAAAGGTAAAGATTACTGGACTTCCCAGAAGTGTGGATACCCTCGTTGAACCGATTTTTGTCCAGGGTTACAGTCCCAGGGGCGTGCGTTAACCGTTACGAGCTGCATTCTCAACCTAGTTAATCTTGCGTTGCTTGAACCCGTAGCCGGAGGTGAGTGTTTGTGTGATGTGTTTGGCGGCATCCCTGGAGCTGACCGGGTACAGCATCGACCAGGCTCAAGTTCCTCACAAAGCTCCCAGTTGAGCGGCCTCAAAAGAGGCCCCTTTTTTGGACACTTTTAGTTTCAAAAGTGTGGTGCGCCTGGCTACCTTATACAAGGAAATGGAGTCACTGATGTGCATGAATAGAAGAGGCCAGTGTTGAGAAGTGACACCATGCGTCTTTGGCGTCGATTCTCCAGGTGATCAGCGTTCTAAATACCCTGCAATTGAAAGCAGTATTTGAGAGGACATGGTTTGAAAATGTGGGTTTTCCCTAGATTGCGGAAGGCCGCGAAAGGGTTCGCGGAAGGGTTTGACCACTTGCCCACTCGCGACAAGTTCGTGTAGCTCCCTTGGATGCCTTCTACGAAGTTGTTGCGTTTCCACAGCTTTTGTGGTTTCTCTGTGTTCGCGTAAGCGAAACCACACGAAAACTAACTTCCACAAAAACCTCAATCGGCGTAGGCGTTTACAATGTCGAAACCATAAGGTTTGTTGGCATGTACAGGCGAATCACCGTTGCTTGTTGGTGTTTCACAGGGGAATCATCATCCTTCCCAGGGCTCTCAGGTGGATTTCGGCCATGGACGGCTTCCCACTTAGGGGATCCGGATCACTTCTCATTGGCGAAGTGGCCTTGTGGCACGGTGCGAAGAATTACTTTGCGTTTTGTCCGGAGCAAGGACCGGTTTTTGTTTTGTTTTTGCTCTTTGACATCATTTTGTCGGCGTTTTGTTGCGCCGGCCATTTGGCGGGTTCTTGATTGTCGGCCCCTCCGAATGGCTGCTTTTTGTTGGGTTTACCTTTGAAAGCAGCAAAAAGTGGCTTCCCCTGCTTTGAGTCAAACAATGCGCATTTTGTGCACTTCCTTGAACGTGGGAAGCCAAAAGTAGGCCGTTTTAAACCGTCATGGTTTGATTGGCCATACTGAAAAAAAACCTTCTCCTCACCGTAATATCCCCTTCAAACCCGTGGTTTCCCTTCGCCCTCTTCAATCGAAGCTGTTTCGCGGTCGCCTCCCGTCTCTTGGCTCACGGCCGATTTCGGGCTGAGGCAGGTGCGCTGGCGCAATCACGTCTTGGGCGTGAAATTCGAGGCGGCAAAGAGGGGCAAGGGACTCCTTGGAACGTCGGAGTTGGTGAAGTCCGGGGCGTTGCAAAATAAGTACACCAGGTTTGTTGTTGCATGTTTTAGGGGAGACAACCATCAACTTTGGCGCCAATTTCTCTGTAGTGGACTTGATGGGAACCACCCTTCCAATCTCCCAACCTGGAAAATTCCCTGAAGCCTAGGGAACTCAATTTCTTTGTTGATGCCAATTGAATTGACGGGTTCCCTTTTCCTTTTCAAGTTCAAGGAATCAACCCCAAAAGGAGGCGTCCAACAATTCCTAGGTATGTCTCTAAATCCACTTAAATGGTGGTTTCCATTTATCCAACAAGGGTTTCAAAAAAAAAGAGACGCCCACGTGGATGTTGACCCAGTTAGTAAGTAGGTGATAGCCTGGGCCATAAGGTCGCCACCCCAGTTACAAGCATGGTTAAGTTATAACCTACTTGCTAAAGTGGTTCAACACCCAAGCACCTTTTTACATGTTCCACCAGGCCAACTGAGAACTCCCACTTCGGGAGAACTGTTCAGGTGAAACACACAAGGGAAAAAACAATCAACATCCGCACAGTACTGCCCTATAAGACCGGCTCCTCTGCGTTTGGCTAACAGGGATGGTCACCCACTTGGTAGTACGGATCCTTCATAGCCATTATATTGATTCCTAGTAAGGGAACCACGACCATAGGCCATGGGAGTTTTGACCATACATAAGACCCAGGATTGGTAGCTCTCAACACTCAATGCAGCACATCTTGGAACAGCACCCTCAGTTTCCTGCATGGCTGAACAAATCTGTTGAAAAGGACGAGAAGAACTACCCTGACACTGAACATGCAAAATCAGACGGTTTTCTGGTTTTCATGTTAGTCTGCAGCCAACTATTGAAAACGGCCTCAGAAAGGATACCTTCGGGCCAAGCAGGAAATCACCCACAAGGATCTCCTTGCAAAGTGGGTGAATTTTGATGTAACCTTTAAGGAGCCCTCATCAACAGGTTTGTCGTGGAGGTTTGAGTGTCGAAGCAAGCCTGCCCTTGGCATGACCGGGGGACAAGCGGGTGCCCAATTCTTGTCTTTGGTTGCTCTCTTTGTTTCTGTATCTGTATTGTCCTCTCCCTTCTTTTATTTTCGCAGTTTTTTGTTCAGTTTGTCTCTTCTCCAGTTCTTATCATGTTTTGTTCTTCTTGTCTCTTCTCTTCTCTTCTATTCTCTTCTTCTTTTTTGTTTTTCCTTTTCTGTTCTATTCTCATCTTCGCCGCTTATGTCCTTTACCTTTCTTTCCTGTTCCTGTTTGTATGTTCTTTCGTTTTTATTTTCTGATGGTTCCGTGTTTTTTTTTGAAATGATGTGTGTATGTACTTTCTTTATGTCTTGCTTTGTTGCTTTGGTTTCACCCCTTTGTATCTATTTCTTGCTTTCTTGCTTTCTTGCTGTCTTGCTTTCTTGCTTTCTTGCTTTCTTGCTTTCTCGCTTTCTCGCTTTCTTGCTTTCTTGCTTTCTTGCTTTCTTGCTTTCTTGCTTTCTTGCTTTCTTGCTTTCTTGCTTTCTTGCTTTCTTGCTTTCTTGCTTTCTTGCTTTCTTGCTTTCTTGCTTTCTTGCTTTCTTTCTTTCTTTCTTTTTCTTTCTTTCTTTCTTTCTTTCTTTCTTTTGTTTCACACCCTTTAACTCTCTCTCTCTCTCTCTCTCTCTCTCTCGCTCTCGCTCTCACTTTCTCACTTCCGATTGCTGGAAGCTGGATTGATCAACGTGTCAGATGAATGGGGTGTTTTCCGCGAGAAGCGAAGGGTTTGTCAACCAGCGTATATGAATCCTTTGGGGCTCAAATCAATCATTGCCATCGATGTGTCCAAGCAGCCAATGCAAATCTTTATCCATGCATACACACGTAGTTTCATGTATATGTATACATAGATAGATACACATACACATAATGTTGTAGACGCATGACATCATAATAATACGCATCTATCATGAGAGCCTTTTGCCTAGCAACAGGGATTCGTAAGACGCTTTCAGCTGATTTAGAGGCTGTCTCGGCGAAACTTGTGATGTTAGGATGTATCTTATGGTCTTAGACCAGGCAGCGGCCGAGCAGCTGAGCTGTGCTCCTCCAAAAATGAGTTCAAGATCCAGAATACGAGCCACTGAGTTTGTACGTGCTTTTGGTGTTTTGAAGGGTCTGCTTTTTGGATAATCGTTGCAGGGCCCAAGTCACGGGCCATGGCGGCGTTTGAGGCGAAGCCCAGCTGGCAGATGGACGCGGCACAAAGTGCGTCAGCGCCTCGATCTCTCGAGGTCCCCGATGGTCTTTTGTGGAGAAGTGACGCGAAAAAGAAAAAAAAACAGCCCGGGTGAGAAAGAATGGAGTTGCTTCTCCCTTAAAAAAAGAAGAAAAAAAGACACCCCCTATTTATACAAATATATTCATGGTTTGCTTTGTTTGTGGTTGGATTCAGCGAGAAGTTTGAGGTTGGAACGGAATTTGCAGTCCCGCCTCAACCTCAACCTTTTCATTTAGGCGCCTTTCTCCCTCCAAAATTGTTTTTACATGCTTGGGAACCCTCTACAGGAACTGGTTTTGTCTAACCCTCAGACATCCTTTCTTTTCAACCTCTCATTTTCTATTGTTCACCCTCCGCCTTGTTTTTTTCTAGCGACCTTGTTCTTGTCACCCACGAGTCTGCGTTGTTTCACACCGGTCGACCTTGTTTTCTCACCCTCGGCTCGGGTTAAACCAACCCTAGACCAACCCTAAGCCAACCAAAAACCCACCCTAAACCGGACCTAAGACAACCCTAAACCCACCCTAAACCCAAACTAACCCTAGGCCCGCCTAAGCCCTGAACCCATCCTACACCAAGCCCAATCAACCCTAAATCACGCTAAACAAACCCAAAACAAACCCATAAACATCTCTCATCCAACCCTAAGCCCACCTAAGCCAAGCCACCCTAAATCAACCAAACACCCACCCTACACCCACCACAAACCTACTCAAAATCATACGTAAACCTACCCTAAACCAACCTAAACCCACCCTACACTAGCTCTCAACCCACCCTAACCTTAATCCAACCCTACATCCTAAACCTTAAGCCGACTCCATTCCAACACTACACCCGCCCAAACCCTAAACCATCTCTACACAAATACAGTTTCATCAAACCCTAGCCTTTATCCAACCCTAAGCCCAACCTAAACCATCACAAACCCGCCCTGAACCAACTCAGCGACCCTAAAGCAACCCCAAGCCAAGTAAGCCAACCAGTCTTTGCCCTGTGCTTTTCACGGCTTTTGAATCCGCGTTTCTCTGGCTTTTGAATCCTACACCCCAATCCAACCCGAATCCCACCCTATATAAACCAATCTTCAATCACACCGACCCCTGAAGCCACCCCTGAAGCCAACCCCAAGCCAATCCTAAACCCACCGTAGACTCATTCCAAACCCAGCTTTAACCAATCCTGAACCGCCGCTAAAACCAAACTTAGTCCAAAGCCCACCAAAAACCAATTCTAAATCAACCTTACCCCCACCCACCCTAAATCCATCCCAATCCAGCTGCGCTGTGTGTCTTCGAGCTCGAAGAGCGAGGGGCAACCCTACCCTCTAGGGTATACTGCTGACGTGTTTTGTTGCGCCCCAAGCTCCTCCTCAGCATTGCCTGCATCACCAGCACGCAGGCTGATCAGCCCAAACATGTGGACCCCAAAAAATCCCTGGCCTTGCGACGGGCTTCTGATGCCACGTTGCCATCAAGTGAGCGGGGTTTCTGCGCAAGCGGGACCGGCACCGCTATGCAGAAAACATCGCAAATACCATGGTTGTTTTTGTCATTTTCCCGGGTTTCTACGAGGCTTAGAGTAGATGCCGGGGATGCAGTCTTAGTTTGATTGGCTCTGGGTGTGCGCTATGTGCGTCGCGCGCCGCACGCTCGCGCAACATACGCACACAAAACACACGCACGCATGCACGCGCGCACGCTCACACACGCGCACGGGTGGGAGGGGGGGTGGGTCACGAATCAGAATGTTCAGAACAGCGGTTAACCCTCAAAGCATATGGTCGCTTGCTTCTGTTGTTTGATTGTCTTCTTTTTTTTCTGAGCGGCAAGACTCTGAGAGGGCGCGGCAAGACCCGCCAAGCTTGAGAGGGCAAAGTCCAAGCGATGCCATGGCTGGCTGGGCCTGCCCGCCACTTTGTTCAAAGGACTTGTAAATCGATTCCCATTCAATAAAATGGTGCCTCAGGGACAAAAGGAAAGATGTGCTGGCGAAAAACCCTTTCTCGCCACTGGGGACTCTGAAGAACCGATATCGTTTTGAAGATCCAGGCTTCCAGGAATCATGTTGACTGGGCCCACTGTCTAGAATATGTAACCCATAAAATACTCTGCTGCCCAGCAATTGCAACTTTACTTTGGGTAAGGGTTCCCCTTTAAACTCGCAAAATAAGAAAAGAGAAGCAATGATTGAGGGTTTTTTCCTTTGACGGAGCGTCATGGCCGGCAACACCCCGCCACCATCATCCAGCTCATTGGAACCTGCTGAGGTTCCCAAGAGAGAGAGAGAGAGAGAGAGAGAGAGAGAGAGAGAGAGAGAGAGAGAGAGAGAGAGAGAGAGAGAGAGAGAGAGAGAGAGAGAGAGAGAGAGTGAAGAGACAGAAGAGAAGAGAGAGAAGAGAAGAGAGAGAGAGAAGACAAGAGGGAGAAGAGAAAGAAGAGAGAAAAGAGAGAGAGAGAGAGAAGAGAAAGAAGAGAGAGAAGATATATATATAATGCCCTGATGCTGACCCCGGTTAAAGGGCATTGAAGGGAGGGATTGAGACAAATTCCACCAGTCAATCCCGGGTTTCTCACAGAAGCAGGTCCAGGTTGCCCCCAAACTTCCAGAGGGAGAATTTCCTGCCAAATGGGCAGGATTGCAGAAACACTGCGCACACGTACCTACACAGTGGGCAAAATGAGACCCTAATAGACAGGTTCACAAACCTGTTGAGTGGCATGTCAGGAAAACGGCCCAGGCAAAGCTATATGCCTTGGTAAGCTTCAGCATGCTTATTCCTGAAACAATCAGGAATTACTAGTGTGGTCAACAACTTCAGTATGCTGGACGCTGGACTCTCTGGCTTAAGAGGGCATCGGTGTGGAAGAGCCCCGTCCTTTCCACGCCAAACAATTCTAAGACCCAAGGATGCACCACGAAATCACACACGTGTGTAGATGGGCTGTTTGCGAAGGCATGCTCCCAGAAGCAACATTCGGCCGAATGTTGCCTCTGGAGCATACAGTCGGCGTCTACAAAGCTGGGAAATCACATGAGATCCTGGCAAATCATGTTTGTAGATGGGGCGTTTTGTGAATGTGTGCTCCCAAAATCGACACACAAAGCCGGAAAATCAAATTATATCAAGTTTGTAATGGATTCTCGGGTCATCTCAGGTCGAACCAGTTTTTGGCATGGCAACGCTTGATAGGGATGAGGGAAGCTTTCCCCATAAAACTGGTTTCTTCAGAAACAGAATTTATCGCGGCCACGGCTGGAGGAGCCAGCTGTGGATCAGCCTCTTCCCCAGAATTAGTTCCCCTTGTTGTTTGTATTTGCTTCCCTGGGCTACATCATCTTCGCCCCAAACCGCAGTCTGTTTGTTTGTTTTGTTTGTTTGTTTGTTTGTTTGCTGGTTGGTTTGTTGGTTTCTTGGTTTGTTGGTTTGTTGGTTTGTTGGTTTGCTTGTTTGATTGTTTTTTGATTGTTTGTTGGTTTGCTGGTTTGTTGGTTTGTTGGTTTGTTGGTTTGTTGGTTAGTTGGTTTGTTTGTGTGTTTGTTTGTTTGTTTGTTTGTTTGTTTGTTTGTTTGTTTGTTTGTTGGTTTGTTGGTTTGTTGGTTTGTTGGTTTGTTGGTTTGTTGGTTTGTTGGTTTGTTTGTTTGTTTGTTTGTTTGTTGGTTTGTTGGTTTGTTGGTTTGTTGGTTTGTTGGTTTGTTGGTTTGTTGGTTTGTTGGTTTGTTGGTTTGTTGGCTTGCTGGTTGGTTTGTTGGTTGGTTGGTGGGTTGGTTTTGTTTGTTTTGTTTGTCTTCTGTTTTTATGCGCTAACTCACTTCCGGAGTTCAACTGGACTTTAGTCACTTTTTATGGGTTTGGTTTACATTGAATTTGTGGCAAACAAGGTTGGTGACCGTTTTTGGTTGCCATCCGCTCGATCGAACGTGAGTTGTGTTTCTAGTTTCTGCCCAAGCTGCCAAAGCCCACTGTCCAAGCAAGTTTTGCCTGGGGCTGTTCAAAGGTCCTCCTTGGGGTCACTTTGAAGCCTGAAAGGTACCAGCCAAGATCATAGGAGGGGTGGACCTCATGAGGGATCCAGATGACGAAGGGGCCCAATGTTGATCTCCGACTCCTATGGTGGATGGTTGCGAAGTCTACTTGGCACAGGTAAGTATGTTGCTTCCCATAGTTTCAAGTGGTGACGGTTTTCGTCCATCCACAGTACGGTGTGCTTGGTTTGATTTGGCAGGTGAACAGTCAGGAGCTTCAAAATGAACCATCCCAAGAAAACACAGGTGCCTGTTTGAGCAGAAGAGAACCTCCCTTGAAACCCGACCAAAGGGTGCCCCTTTCTAAATCCAAGGGAACACAGAAACCGACAAAACGGGGACCCGCTGGGTGCTCCAGGAGTCGGAGCCGCAGGAGTCGGAGCCGGAGCTGCAGGCCGGCCCAAGGTTTGTGCACTCCATTTTTGATTTCTCCAAAGGGTTCACCTTTCATTTCTGGGCCCTTTGCGCAAATGGCCAGCTATTGGGTTAAATCTTTAGACTTTAACTTTTCGGATTCCCCTCATACTTCCTTTTAACCAGCAACACGTTAAACTTTTTGCCGGGGGGGCCGAATCTGGTTCTTTCCTTTCTTGAGGATAATTAGCTTGTTTTGTGGCGTTAGCCTATTTTGAGACTCACCCATTGGACGAAACCCATTTCGCAGCACTGTTCAGAAACCCCGGAACGATGTTATTCCCATGTATGACAGTGGTTTCAACCATGGTTTCAAAGTGGTGCGAACGGATTTCATCGCTTCGCGATAGGACCTGGTGTACATGGCGCCCCAGCGGATCAACCTCCCTCGCGAGAGGTTCTTCACGGCGTGCGCCCTGCCTGCAAGTGCGGGGGAGGGCTTCACCCGGGAAAACGGGTCACGCAAAGCTATATGCCTTGGTAAGCTTCAGCGTGCTTATTCCTGAAACAATCGGGAATTCCTGGTTTGTCATGGATCATCTCAGGTCGAATTACCCGGTTTTTGGCATGGGAACGCGGAAGCTTTCCCTTCTAAATGGTGTTTCCTCAGACCGGTGTACTCTGCATCCTCAAACTTGCGTGTTCCGCCCTAAACAGAAGCCAGCCCTAGGAAAACACGCGGCCACGGGGCTGGAGGCAGGGCCAGCGCATGAACTTTTGACTCCTTTTGGTTCTTGGTCAGAAGTATGGTGGACACATCGGTTTTTCTTCTTGCGGCGCAACCTTCTTGTTCAGGTAGAGTCGCTTTCTGTTTTTCTGCTAACTTCACCTGCCAACTTCTCGCGCCAACTTTTGGCGTGCAGAGAGCATTTTGCGCGCAGCAGCCTCGCGCAACGCAGCTTGCGCAAACCGCTTGCGTGAGAAATCGTCCAGAAGTTGCGCAAAGCGCATTGCGATGGGCAGACTCGCGCAGGGGCCAATTTGCGCAGGGCCAGTTGCACAGAGTCACTCGCGAAAAGCACCTTGCGCAGAGCCAAGTTTCGCAGACACGCTCGCCGCATCGATGTAAAAAGGCTTCCGCGGCTGGAAGGGTGCTTGGGGACAATGCTCTCGGGCCAATCGTCCTCTAGCTTTGATTTCTCCACCCTCTCACATAACTCGTGCTTGCTACACAATCGAAGCGTCGTCCACTTACTTACAGGTTGAAAAAAGGGCGGGGCGCTGCGAGCTTGTGACTTTTCTCGTTTCGAGTGGAACTTCGAGTTGTGTTTACATGTTAGCTGAGTTGTGAAAACAACCCTGCGCAAATTCTAATTTAGAACAGAATAGCGCCTCATCTAAACCTTAGTGTAGCGTCATCATCAGGGCCTGCTGGCATCATGACTCAAGGATAACAACCCGAGAGTACACCCACCCATGTCTCATTCAACTATTAGCCAGGAGATAGTGACTATGAATCTAGAGTTTGCTGTTTGTTGTTTCTTTTGGAGCGTTCGCAACCAAGCGAAGGACATTTTGGAGTTGATAAGAAAAGGGAAGACACGTCATCCGGTTTCATCCATCCATCTCATCCATCCAGGCCTCGCATGTCCGAAAAATTGCATAGGTCATCCAAATTTCAATTTGAAAATGGTACTGGGTTTAGAACTTAGATAACTCCTTTCCCAATAGACCTGTAAAATGAACTTAGAGTTGAAACAGATTTTGATGCGGAAATGATCCTATGATGCTGATGATGATGATGCCGGTGATGATGAGGATGATGGTGCTGGATGGTGGATGATGGTTGATGCTGATGATGATGATGCTGATGATGATCGAGACGGTGAGGATGACTATCATCGTAGCATTCTCTCATCCCCAGCGATGTCCAGCGTCTCAATTGAAACTCATATATAGTTCGAAAAGAACGAGAAGACAGTCCGCGCCATCATAGGTATCATCGTAGCATCCTTTGCATCACCATCTGTGTCTTGATAGCTATCATCGTAGCATCCCTTGCGTTGCAAGTGGGGCCTAACGTGACTTTCGATTTGTTTGGAAAGAGAATTAAGACGTGATCGCAGGATAAGGGTGATGATGCTTGTCATCATCTGCGGCGTCATAGTGACCGTTGTAACACCCTCTGCACCCCCATCTGTGCCTTGAGAACTATCATCTTAGCACCCCTTGCGTTGCACGTGGGGCCTAAGGTGAATATAAGGAAGGGCGATGACCATCTTCTTCATCATCATTTATCATTTTTGTCATCATCTTCAGCATCATTTTATCATCTTCATCATCATGTTCATGATCGTTTTCGCCAAGCTTGTCGCTATTTTCATCACATCACCAGTTCTCATTTTCATCACCATCGTTTATCATCGCAGTTTTCGTATTTTCACATTCATTTTCATCATATGTTTTACACCACCCTAACTCATCCCCAACCCTGGCAGACAAGGGGTTGGCGGACTGAAATGTGGTTTTCTTCGGGCAACAGATTTCTTTAAACGCTGGCCGAAAAGAGGGCCCCGAGCCTGACAAAACACAGATACCCAGGTGTAGTTTTTCGCAGATTGGACCCGTGGATTCTGCCCTGAGTTCTTGGGGAAACAGTTCAGAGACGGTTTTTGGTCAAATCCTGAGTCTTGGCCCAACGTTGGTAAGGATGGGTCCGGCCGTGGTCCGGTGCGCGCGCACGCGCCCCGCGGCTTCCATGAGCCGAAGGTCTCGTTTGCGCCGCATCGAGAGCGCGGGGGGAGGTGGGCGCATCCCACAGTTGCCTCGGGGATCTAGAGGCAGATACCACAGGAGTCCCCATATTGACCCATTTTTCTCTTTTTTGGCTGGTTTTCAACATCACCTTTTTCTTTGCTAGTTTTTAACATTCTCTAGGGATTTGGCTGGTGTTCAACATCACCTTTTTTCGGGCCCAAGGTGAGTGTCCCTTGGTGTGATATGTTTTTGTTTTTCAGGAGAAACATATGGAGAGCCCTGTGCCAATAGCTTGGGAGCCGGACGAAGCGCTTAAGGCACTGTTCGCTTGCCGTGCTCTTGCGAATCTCCAAATCCAATTGTCCAGGGATTTGATGGCCATTGGTGAGAGCAAGCGGCACAAAACACTGTGTTTTACGGTGTCTTCTGCTCTCACAAAAATCAATTTTGGGACCGCTGAGTTCTTTCTTTGCAAATTCGACATCATATCTTTAGTATGTTTTATATGTCTTCTTCAAACTAAACGTTACAAAGGGTTTCCTTTCCAAATGACTTGTGCTTCACAATCGGCAAAGAAATCAGCAGTTTGTTCAACAGTGTTGGGGCTTCTGACTTCTACTGAATGTTTGTCAAGTTGAAACTGGTTTTCTAACTGAAATACAGACATGTTAATAAGGAAACATTATACACAGAAATGCGCCTACTTTTCTCTAGATTGTTCATGAATGTTTATTTCTACTTTCCTGTTTCACTCAGTTTCGGAAGAGAAGTGTTTGTACAGGTTTCTCGAAAAACACTGTTTTGCATGCTCTGTTCTTGTTACGCGTGTAGCAGTCTGTCATTTGCATAACCTGTGCGAAGAATGGAATTTTGACCCGTATGTTCTCTAGCAATCTGTTTGCCACTCGGTGGCCAAATGTCCCTGAGAGCTGAAGACACGGCGCACGAAGAGTTGAAGGAGGTGGAGGATGCTACTTTTGCTGTTTCTGTGTTGGGGCACG